TGTGAAATCTTGCCTATAAATAACGGGCGCATTCTAGTTATTTTCTGTGCTTAACAATAACCAATAGCAAATATTTCCATAAAACCAAGTAGTCTCTTTACGCTATAACAAATGTCTCAACAACCCCTTTATGTCCCAAGGTGCGAGTGCGGCAAAAGATGCATGATGCACGATTGTTGGGAAGAAGCTGGACGCCGTTACTATGCGTGTATGAACAAGTTTTATAGGCAACCCGATGAATCTACATGCAATTTTGAGGTATGAATTGATGAACTCTGTCAGCAGGAATACTACAAAGACAAGCTCCAAGATCTTCATAATTTGTGTTTGAAGCAGTGGGAAATAGAGTGACAATCCAAACAAGAAGTTGTGGAGTTGAAGGCGAAACTCAAGGAGGTGGAAGAAGAAAAAAAAAGCTGGAAGACCAACTCAAGTGGTTGGAGCGGAGAATACTAGGGGGTGGTGACTAAACAATGACATGTACGTGTTGAACGTACTATTGTATCTTCATGTTTCCCTTATCATGTGTGATCATTAGTTGTACTGAATTTACGTTATGTTAGGTTTGCTATGTTTGTGTTTGTGTTGTACTATTAAAATAAAATTGTTGTTAAAATACAATTTTTGCCGTTATTTACATAATGTAGTATTTACACAAAATACAAACAAAAATAAATCAAAGAGTCCCACAGCCTCGGTGCTTTAGTGAAGCCGCTGGCCTGAGGCACATACCATGTCGCCCGGGTACACTATCAGGATCATCCTCATCAAGTCGCCTCTTTATGTGAGGATGCGCAGCAACATCGCCAGTACAACTGGCAGGATCGGTAGAAGGGGTTGTTGGGCCGTCAGCAACCTACAAAATAATTACTAAGTTTAGCATATGAAAATGTACATTAGTAATGTATGTGTTAAGTCAAAAATATTTTCTCACCATGGTCTCGTTAGGCTCTTGAGTATAAGCATCCGTGGTGTCCTCATCATCGCATACAGTGGCCTCCGTGATGGGCTCGGACGAAGCCTTAATAAGAAAATTAAAAATTAATTTATGGCAAATCATTAAGGAAAAGAAAACAAATTAAAATTTTACAGTAATACAAACATACCTGCGCCTGTGATAGATCCGCATCAACCGCCGGGGATGAGCCAAAACTCAACCTGCGCCCGTCATCCACATCTTGGGTCGGCCGATCCTCAGCTCCGGTAGATGGGCCTGAAAAGAACTGGTCTACATCTCTGTCGAATGTACCCGTGATCAATAATGGATATGACGGGGTGACCTGCGATGCTTGTAGATCCAGCTGAAGGCTGTACAACGGCATGCTGCTGAAAGGCTCGTCTAGCTGAGGGAAATAACCTGACTGATCATCTCCAAGATCCTCATCGGGTGCCTCAATAGGTGGGTCGACAGGTGCCTCAACGCCCCCTTGCTGGGGACCAACTCCTCGTCATCCCCTGCAGCCCCGTGGGGCACCCCTGCCTCGTGGGATAGCCCTGGCTGGTGCCCGACCCCTGCCTCGTGGGATAGCCCTGGTTGGTGCCCGACCCCTGCCTCGTAGGATAGGCCTACCCTGATGGTGCTGCTCTGGCACAACATACTCAGCCTCGTGATCCAAACCTCTCGTCCTCTCCGGCTCGCTGCAGGGTCCGGAGAGCCAGCTCTACCACCCACTGGCCATACTCAACGACTACAACATTGTCGGCATGCTGATGCATCTCCTGTCCCAACTGGTAGACCATGTGATGCCCAATAGCCTGCACAATATTTAAAATATTAATTACATAACACTATATCATAGTTATAAGTATGGGTTCCAACAAAAACATACCAGTGCCTCGTGCCTCCCGGCGTATGGTCTGAACCGACCGCCAGGTACATGAACGGGGTTCCCGATCATTTGTCGGGTGTGACGGCGGTACCATGACGTATAAAGCTCAATAGTCGTTGCCTAGATCTGTGAAGGTGGTGGCAGAATCAGGTCCTCTCGCTGCTCCCAAATAAGGACCTGCGCTTCTAGCTATCCTACAAATACGTCGTCAACCCTCGACCGATCATCCCGCTGATAATGTGTAGCCACCCATGCAGTCTCCCTCGGTATAGTCTGGGGACGGTCAAACTGGCAAAGTACCCGCTCTGTGGAATGATGCTCCACAATATCGAGGCACATCAGCGGGACGGAAGTGCTCCAAAGTTGTCGGTTGACCGAGCAATAATCGGGCAGATCAACTATCAACTCGCCGATGTATGGCGTCCAGATGAACTATCAAATAATAACATAAAAGTGAGTATGCGCAACACAAGTGAATTTATAACAAGTAAGTTTAGGTACATATTTACATGTGCAACCTCCAGCATATCCAACACATCCCTGACAAGGAGGGAGATTATGATGAGCATCATTGCCTCGGTAGTTCCCACGCCGGAGAACCCACCTCCTAGCTAAAGGAACAGAGGTGCTACATCTGGCTCTAATGGTGGTAGAGGTGGCTGCAACGGCAGAACCCGCTCCAAGGCCCAAATCTAACATACAAGGTTGACGTAAAATTTAAGAGTCATTTTGACTATATAGAATTTGAAGTAATGAACAGAGTATTCGAATATGATGTCACATGTAGAAGCGGCAGAAAACAGTGTGGAATTTTTTATTCTGGTAGCACGTACATTCCAACCACATTTGTCCACGATGCATTTCAGCTCGTATCTCTTGGAACATGATCTAACAGTAGTGAATTCAACTTTTTGATTTATCTCCAAGCTGCAGAAAAATTTAGTCATGCTTTGTTTGTTCTCAAAGATTGATCCAACTCTTACTTCCTCAGGCAACGCATCGTGCCTAAGTATTTTATATGGTGGAGATTCTTTCACCTTTCACTTCACTCTTTTTCTTAATTTCTGAGAAGCACAAGAACTTTCAGCAATTTCTTCAATTTTATGTAATGTTATCGGTATAAGCTTCATGTTTACTTCATCTTATTGTTGTTTATCATTGCAGAAGGTGAAAAAAGCTTTGATGGATTGTGTGTTGGTTGTCAATTTGCATTATTAGCTGTCCTTCTTCTTCTTGGTCATCGACAAACTGGTATGAATTTATTGGAGTAGGGGGTAATTGTTGCAGCACTATATATTCTGAAGCAGCTGTAATGTTAGAAGGTTGTTGCCCGTTGTCTACTTCCATTATTGGCACTCGTACTTCATGTTGATAGTCAGCAAAAGGTTCTGAATCTATCGCATATGCAAGAGATTGGTTGAATGCTGTTAATTCTGAAGGTTGTATTTTTCGATGACGAAATGATAATTCTTGTAGGCTGAACCAGTTGTAAGCAAATGTATACATGTACTGAGTTCTTCATCTGAAGTTACAAGTATTCCTTTGCTTGTATTTAGTTTGATATCAAACCATACTTTTAATGCATATCTGGTTGAATCAATATTTGCAACTTCACTAATTTTCTTCAGGAAAGTATTGAATGATATGTCCTTATTAAGTAGAACAAGTTTTGTATCATGATCCAAGTATTTGAAATCAGGAGTCCAACTCCCATTGAAAGTTATAACAATGCAAATCGAACTCATCCTGCAGATTCATGTTTAGTGGCAAGTATTAGGAAAGTGAACAGAAGAATTTTTTAGGTTGTTTGTGCTGAAGATTTTACAAATAAACTAAGTCACTTAGGCATCTTCTGCTGAAATTTTTTTTGGAAAAAGATGTATGATATAATTAATGAATCCTGCAAAGAAAACTTTAACTTATAAGTGCTAAAGTTTTTAGAGATAAGCTTAATAACTTCAACATATTAGCTGAAGTTTTTTTATAATGGTGATTCATCAATGCAGGGGGAAAAAACTTCAGCACCTAGGCCGATGTTTTTTTGGTGCAATACGATTTTTTAATTTAGCCAGTGTAGGAGGAAAACTTCAGTCCTCCTGCTTAAGTTTTTAAGTAATAACTAAAATACTTCAGCACCTAGGCCGAAGTTTTTTTGGTGCAATATGATTTTTTAATTTGGCCAGTGTAGGAGAAAAACTTCAGCCCTCCTGCTTAAGTTTTTAAGTAATAACTAAAATACTTCAGCACCTAGGCCGAAGTT